TGAACCAGAGCATCCGCCTGCAAAGGCGCTTCACGGTGGCCCATCCGCTGTGGTGAGGCGGGACAGGAGGGCCTGGCGGGGTCATGGGGACAGCTGGCGTGGAGGTGGGGAGGGCAGAGAGACAGGGACAGCTGGCCCGAGGTCAGGGCACGGGCGTTTTGCCCCTCCTGCCCTTTCTCACTGTCACTCTCTCTCTCTCTGCCTATCCTATCTCTCTGTCTCTCTCTCTCTTTCTCTTTCTCCATCTCTGTTTGTCTCGTTCCACTCGCTTCCTGGACACGCGCCCAGGGGACCTGCCGTCTGTTCCTTTCCAGCTGTGAGACCCAGAGCAGGACGGGCTGAAACTCACGTCTCCTTCTGACCCTTGCTGGCCTGGGGCAGGCGGGCTGAGAACCAGGGGGTGGAAGGAGGGGGAGAGGCGCTGCTCCCCTGGGTCTTCCCCACCCCCACTCCCTCCGCCATCTGGGGCCAGCACCCAGGTGGTCCCCGGGTCTCAGACAGAGCCCTAGGTGTCCCCAGAAGGCCTGATTTGGTGGAGACTGAGGGTGGGTGCCCCCAGCATAAAAAGAGCGAGTGTATTTTCCTTGGGCTGAGCGCAGATGGGCAGACAGCTGTAGCTCCCTATAAGGTGCAAATTCTAAGACCTTCATCCTTAGCACTCTCCCCGAGTTCGATACCTGCCTTTTCAGAAGCACCTGTGACCTCGTGGGGGTGGGGTGAGCACCGACAGTGGTTTGCAACGTGCCCTCGGTTCTCCCCAAATTTGCACCCATGGGCAGTTTGGTGCACAGAGGCTCAAGGATGCGCGGTCCCTTTTCCAAGGTCACATGGCCAGACAGTGGCAGCTGGAGGAGGCGAGGATGATTGTAGTGGAGGCCTGACCCTGAACCCTGATGGCGCTGGTTCAGCCTGGAAGGGGAATCCCTGGTCTCCGACAGGATCCCAAGAGCGGGCACATCCGAGGGCACACAGGCCTCCAGGGAGTGCCCCAGGGTACCAGAAAGTGAAGATAGAGGAGGTCCCCCGAAGGCTGGACCCGAACCCAGGTCCGAGCCCCGAGGACGCCCAGTCTGGTGCCTCAGTTTACCCACCTCAGCGATGGGTAGCCACATTGTTCCCACAGCCCGGGCGACCTCACCCAGCTCCGCCCGCGTCATGGAACCACAGCCTGACCTCGTTGCTCCTGGCTAAGTTTAGAGCAGAAAGAAAAACAGACTCCCCCCACCCGCAAGAAATTTTGGGCCCAGTCTTTAACCCTCTACGTCCGGGAGGTAGATTCGAACCCACTACCTTGCAGCTGCTCCTAGTCTCAGTTTCTCTATTTGTCCCTAGGCACGCTTTCTCAGAACCTTTGGGGAGGGGGAATAGCGAGATAGGGGGTCGCCACCCATAGGCTTTATTCTAGAATGGCAGGTTTGGGGTATCCGTTGCGGCTAGTCCGCCCCCCTAGAGCATCTTCCAGCAGCCACTGCTTCCACCGCGCGCCCCCGGGCAGCGAAGGGTTAAGAAGCTCCGCCCTCCCCGTGACGTCACGGAGAGGGCGTATAGACGCACGGGCAGTGGCTGGGGGCTTCTCTTTGGGCGGAGCTGCGCGGAACAGGCCGAGCGTAGCCGGGCGTAGCCGGAAATACCCGAACTCATTCGAGTTTGGCCGGACTAAGCCGATTACGCCCGACTCAGCCCGAAAGCCACCCGAACTTATTCGAGGTCGAACAAGAGTGGCCGGAGGTAGCCGAACAAGGTCGAATTTATCCGAATCAGCTCGAGCTTAGTCGGACGGAGCCGAATCTAGCCGAACTCATCCGACAGGATCTCGGCGATCGAACCGAACTCAGACCCGGTCGTACTTAATGGGATTCTGCCCAATCTTTACTCTATTTGAGTGTAATCACGGCACCTCGTGCTCAGAGCCTTTGATGGGAGCCGACCCCACCCGAGGACTGGGTCGGGGTCAGGGTGATCTTTGACCCAAAAGTCAGGGCTGAAGACCAGATGCACACCGGTCTTTGGCCAAGTGCCCACAGTCCTGGCGGTGACCCATAGGCAACCCCTCCTCCAAGTTGTCACCTTCGCCCCTTCCGAACCTCGGCCCTTGCCATGCATTTTCTCTGACCACAGGAGGAAGGGCATAGAGTCTCCTACCTGGTCAGGGCATGACCAGAGGGAAGGACGTGATTAGAGGTGGAATGGAACACGTGGTGTTGGAAAGAACCGTGCCCCGGTCAGAGGGCGCGCCTGTGCAGACCCGGAGGTCCGGAGGTGGAAGGGAACAGCGTGAAAATTCAAGCTTGGGGACCAGCAGTTAGCATAATGGCTATGTTGCTGAACTCCCATGTAGTCGACCGTGGTTCGAGTCCTGGACCCGGTGGCTTAAACTCATGCCGGGTGCGTGTGCATGCGTGCCCAGGATCCTGAGAGGAGAATGGAGGAGAAGGGATTGTGGCGTGGCCATCCCCCCTGGGGGGTGACTTCTCGCTTTCTGTCTCTCTGTCTCTCTTTGTCTCTCTTGCAATCGCACACACCCTATAGCAAAAACCACTCCAAAAAAAATTTTAAAAAAAATTCAGGTTTGAACAAGAAGCAGTAAAGTGGTGGGCAGGGCTGAGCAAATTGTGGGCGTGGTGGAAGGCCAGAGGGTGGAGCTTATGGGCTGAGGGTGGAGCCTGGAAGACTGGGGGCGTGGTCAGATGGCTGAAGGGCATGGTCAAGTTGGTTGGGGATGGGACTTCTTTCTGTTTTTAAAAAGAATTATTTATTTACTTAATTTAATTTTTTTGAGAGGTTTTCGCTATAGGGCGTGTGCGCTCGTCAGACAGAGAGAGACAGAGAGACAGAGAGACAGAAAGCGAGAAATCCCCCTCCAGGGGGGCTGGCCACGCCGCAATCCCTTCTCCTCCATTCTCCTCTCGGGATCTTGGGCACGCACGCACACGCGCCCGGCATGAGTTTAAGCCACCGGGTCCCGGATGCAAACTGCGGTCAACTATGTGGGAGTCCAGCGACATAGCCATTACGCTAACTGCTGGTTCCCCCTCTTTAATTTTTTTAGAATGACTTTATTTCGGGGTACCAGCAGGTGGCGTAATGGCTATGTCCCTGGACTCCCATATGGTCGACTGTGGTTCAAGTCCCCCCTGACCCAGTGGTTCAAAACACGCTGGGCACATGTATGTGCATGCCCAAAATCCTTAGAGGAGAAGGGATTGTGGCATGGCCATCCTCCCAGAGGTGACTTCTTGCTTTCTGTCTCTCTCTCTCCGGTGAGCATACACATCCTATAGCAAAATCAAAAAAAAAAAAAAAAAAGTTATTGGACCAGCAGTTAGCATAATGGCTATGTCGCTGAACTCCCGTGTAGTTGACCACAGTTCGCGTCCCAGACCGGTGGCTTAAACTCACGCCGGGTGCGTGTGCGTGCATGCCCAAGATCCCGAGAGGAGAATGGAGGAGAAGGGATTGCGGCATGGCCATCCCCCCTGGGGGGTGATTTCTCGCTTTCTCTCTCTCTGTCTTTCTGGCGAGCACATGCACCCTATAGCAAAAAACCTCTCCTAAAAGAAAAATAAGTTATTTAATTTATTTTTTAAGTTATTGATTTATTTAATTCCATTTGCTATTATTTTTTAATTTGATCAGACAGAGAAAGAGAAAGCAAACCTCCAGGTCCAGGACTCGAACCGCTGCCAGCCATGTAGGAATCCAGTACCTTGACCATGTCCAGCGACATAGCTATTATGCCACCTGCTGGTCCCTGAAAAAAATATTTCTTCAAAAAATAAAAGCAAAAGGAGAGAAGTCACCAGGCCTTTAGTAGAGACAAAGCAGTCAGGGTTCAGAGCAGGGAGGGTCGTGCAGCCACTTTGGGGAAAGTGAAAAGGACTCCCAGGTGCACACTCGGTGACAGAAGCATGAAGGGTGTGAGGTCCCCGATCGAGCGTATGGCTGTCGAGCAGGTGGACAGGCAGGAAGCTACGCCAGCCCCATCCCCAGGGAGCCACTCCTCCCGACAGTCCCAGGGAGGACATGGCAGGATGGACCTGGATTGCAAACGGACACCCAGGGGCCAGGCCCTCGTGTCTCACTGTGCACCTCCTCTGCCTGCAGCTTTGACCTGGAAAATGGGCTCTCGTGTGGGAGGAATACCCTGGACCCGCAGTCCGGGCCTGGCCTGGGCCGGGGGAGCCAGGCACCCGGTCAGCACAGTCAGAGACGCGAGTCCTTCCTCTACCGCTCGGACAGCGACTACGAGCTCTCGCCCAAGGCCATGTCCCGGAACTCCTCCGCCGCCAGCGATCTGTGAGTCGGGGCTGGTGGGAGGACCTGACTTTTCTTCCCCCTTCTTTCTTTAAAATTTTTTTTTTTTTTAAATTTGGGACTGCTATGTCGTTGGACTCACACGTAGTCGAACGCGGTTCGAGTCCCAGACCCAGTGGCTTAAACTCACGCCGGGCATGTGTGTGCCCAAGATCTCGAGAGGAGAATGGAGGAGAAGGGATTGCGGCGTGGCCATCCCCCCTGGGGGTTGATTTCTCGCTCTCTCACTCTCTGTCGCTCTCTTTCTGGTGAGCACACGTGCCCTATAACAAAAAACAAACAAACAAACAAAAAACAAAACTCCCAAACAAAAAAATTTAAAATGAACTTTATTTATATTAATTTGACCAGAAAGGGACAGATGAGAGAGAGAGAGAGAGAGAGAGAAAGTGAGAAATCACCCCCCAGGGGAGATGGCCACACCACAATCCCTTCTCCTCCATTCTCCTCTCAGGATTTTGGGCATGAATGCACATTTCCTGACATGAGTTTCGAGCTGCCGGGTCTGGGACTAGAACTGAGAGTCCAGCAACATAACTGAAATGCCATTTACTGGCCCCCATTCCACTGGGTCTGGGATTCACACTGTGTGTTTAGCCATGTGCAATCCAACGGCTTTAACCACCAGGCCACGGAGCCAGCCGGCTTTGAGGTTTAAGTAGGAGTTTGCCAGGCAGTTCAATCTTCCGTGTGGGGCCTTAGGGTGGGGTGGTCTGCCAAAAACATAAAGCCGATTAACAAGTGAACAAACACTTAGATCTGAGCTTCCTAGTAGCCATAGTGAAAAGGGAAATACAGTCATTTCCATCCTGACTCTAAGATCCCTACTGCTCCTGGGACTCAGTTTCCCATTTATGAGATGCAGATAGAATGAGTGATTGATTAGAGGAGTCCTAATGGCTCTCAAGGTGAAGGGGTGGGGGAATCCAGTAGCCAGAAGGTCACCCACAGGAGTCAGGGCCAGGAGGCTCAGAGGGAAGATTGGCATGCGTGGAAACGGCTCTCTGTGCTCTCCCTGACGGCTCCTCTTCCTGCAGACACGGAGAGGACCTGATTGTTACGCCCTTTGCCCAGGTGGGTGCCCGCTCTCCCAGTCACCCGTGAGTCACGCACGCAGAACTGACCCCGTCTTCCCGGCACTGACCACTCCCTTCCCGACAGGTCCTGGCCAGTCTGCGGACGGTTCGAAGCAACGTGGCAGCCCTGGCCCACCTGCAGGGCCGCGGGGTAGCCAAGTACGCAGAGGGCGTGGCCAAAAAAGATGGGGGCGGGGCCTGGGGTGATGGGCAGCCCCGGAGCTTCCAGGCTGAAGGCCTGGAGGACTTGGGCGGAGCCTGGCAGAGCCCAGGGGTGGAGCTGGGCCAGGTGGGTGGGGCTGGGCCAGGTGGATGGGCGTGGCCAGAGCAGGGCCGACAGGCGTCTGTGGGCAGGGTGGAGGCGGGGCCTGGCATTTATGGGCAGCTCAGGAGGAGGGTGAGGGGCGGGCCTGGAGGGTTTGGGGGCGTGGCCAGTAAGCAGGGGCGTGGCCAGGTGGGTGTGGCCTGCCCCTCAGAGCCCGCTGTACCCTAGGCAGGTGTCTGCAGAGACCCCTCCATCCAGCAGTTCAAGCCCTCCACCTACAGGTAACTAACAAGCTATTCCTACTCCCACCCCCTCAGAGGGACATCCGTGAGCTCTGTCTTGCTAGTGACACCTCCCCAGGCCACCAGCTATGGGACTGTGGCTAATTGTACCCCGCCACCTCCTCCATACACACAAAACACCCTCAGGGATGGAGTGCACCTTGCCCATATTACAAACGGGGAGACTGAGACCCAGAGAGGGACAGAGACCTGCCCGTGGTCACACAGCCATTTGGGGACCAACCTGGAAACTGGGTCCAGCGATGGGGGCATGAGGGGTGCGGACTCCCCCGAGTTGGGGTGCACAGGCCCCTGACCGATTGGGCTCCCAGAGGACGCTGGACAGAAGCTGGCGTTAGAGACCCTGGATGAATTGGACTGGTGTCTGAATCAGCTGGAGACGCTCCAGACGCGCCACTCGGTGGGGGAGATGGCCTCGAACAAGGTGAGGGGCGTGGGGGGCCATGGTCGTCCACCTTGCCCAGGCTGGCCGCGTCCTCACTGTCCTCACCTCGCCCCGCAGTTCAAGCGGATGCTGAACTGGGAATTGACGCACCGGTCGGGCTGAACCGGGAATTGACGCACCTGTCGGAAACCAGCCGCTCCGGGAACCAGGTGTCAGAGTACATCTCCCGGACCTTCCTGGGTGAGCCAGGGTGGGGCTCTGCGTGAGCCAGCTAGGTGGTGCTTAAGGCAGCGCGATCCCGCACGGCCAACTAAGGGTTCGAGTCCCAGACGGGGAAGTTTGAAGAACATTCCAGTCGCGTGGAGATGTGTGTCTAAAATTCCAAGAAGAGAACGGAGAAGGGATCGGAATGTGATCACCTCTCACGGGGAGTGCTTTCTCTCTCTCTTTCTCTTTCTCTCTCTCTGGTGAGTGCATGTGTCCTAGAGCAAACTTTAGTTTTTGACTATTTCGTTTTATTTTTGAATTTAATGTTATTTATTATTATTATTTTAATTTGACCGGAGAGAGAGAGGGAAAATGAGAAAGCAAGCTGCCAGGTCCTCAACTAGAACCGCGTTCGGCCATGTGGGAGTCCAGCACTTTAACCACCACCACACCTCTAGCAAACTTTTTTTTAAGAATTATTTTTTAAAAAAAGGGGGGAGACCAGCAGTTAGTGTAATGGCTATGTCGCTGAACTCCCATGTAGTCGAAGCGGTTCGAGTCCCGGACCTGGTGGCTTAAACTCACTCCAGGCGCGTGTGCGTGCGTGCCCAAGATCCCGAGAGGAGAATGGAGGAGAAGGGATTGTGGCGTGACCATCCCCCCTGGGGGGGTGATTTCTCGCTTTCTGTCTCTCTGTCTCTGTCTGTCTGTCTGGTGAGCGCACGTGCCCTATGGCAAAAACCTCTCCAAAAAAATAAAATAAATAATTATTTTATTGGGACCAGTAGTTGGCATAATGGTTACATTGCTGGACTCCCACATAGTCAACCATGGTTCGAGCCCCGGACCTGGCAGCTTAAAAACTTACACCAGGCTCATGTGTATGTGCGTGCCCAAGATCTGGAGAGAGGAATGGAGGAGAAGGGATTGCGGCGTGGCCATCCCTCTTGGGGGATGATTTCTCGCTTTCTGTCTCTCTGTCTCTCTCTGTCTCTCAGGTGAGCGCAATACATCCTATAACAACAGCAACAAAAAACTTATCAAAAAATAAATAAATAAAAGGGGGCTGGCAGGTGGCATGGTGGTTAAGGCACTGGACTCCCACGTGGCTGACTGCTGTTCAAGTCCTGGATGTGGCAGCTTGCTTTCTCACTTTCCCTCTCTCTTTCTGGTCATATTTAAAGATAAAGAAATACATAAAATAATTCTTTCTAAAAGCTTTTTAAAAAAAGGAATTATTTATTTATTATTTTAATTTGACCAGAGAGAAAGAGAGAAAGCAAGCTGTCAGGTCCGGGACTCAAAATTGTGATTAACCATGTGGGAGTCCAGCACTCTTAACCACTATAGCACCTGTCAGTCCTTACTGCAAACCTTCAAAAAAAAGAGAGAAAAAGAAAGATTTCTTTTTCTTTGGAAAGTTTTTTTGTTGTTGTTGCTATAGGGCGCGTGCGCTCACCAGAAAGACAGAGAGAGACATTTCTCACTTTCTGTCTCTATGTCTCTCTCTGTCTGTCTGGCGAGTGCATGCGCCCCATAGCGAAAATCTCTCCAAAAAAAAAAAAAAATTAAAAAAAAAAAATTTTTAAAAAAAAAAAAAAAAAAGACGGGAGAGGTTGACCCATGGCAGGTCCAGAATCTCAGGTGGCTTGGATTTTCCAGACCAACCGACAGAGATGGAGTTGCCCAGAGAGACCCCCCCAGAGCCCCCGCGGCCCCTGTCCGAGATCAGCGGTCTACGTGGGCTCCCCCGTGGTCCCAGCCTCTCCGCGGCCACTGTCCCACGCTTTGGGGTCCAGACTGATCAGGAAGCGCAGTTGGCCAAGGTGGGTTTTGAACCGCTATGGCGAGACCCAGGTGTGAGCCGCGTCCACCCTCAGTCCCGGTTTCCTGTGGGCAGGGCGGCCTCCCTGAGACATCTGGATGGCGGAGGTCGAGGCTCTGGGGCCCAGGGCAGTCGGGTTGGGGTTGAGCCTCCCCCCTTACCCTGCAGGAGCTGGAAGACACCAACCGATGGGGCCTCGACGTGTTCAAAGTGGCGGAGCTGAGTGGAAACCACCCGCTCACCGCCGTCATGTTCAGCATCTTTCGGGTACGTCCCAGTCCCTGGCTGCAATATCCCTGGGGTATCCTTTGTCCCTTCCTGCCCCAACACCCCAGGGCTACTTATTTTTACCATCCTCCCTGATATTCCCGAACGGGATCATTGGTGCTGGGTATTGAAGGGTGAATAGGAGTTCACTAGGTTGAATGAACAACATTGTCAATGTACCTCCATCTTGGGCCGGGTGGGGGGAACGGCTGGACACAGACCCCCACAGTCTTGTGGAGTTGGGGATGAACCAGAGAAGGACAGAGAGTAAAGGAATTTATTTATTTATTTATTTATTTTAGAGAGAGTTTTTTTTTTTTTCCTCTAGGGCACGTGTGCTTGCTGGAGAGACAGAGAGACAGAAAGTGAGAAATCACTCCCCCGGGGGGATGGTCATGCCGCAATCTCTTCTCCTTCATTCTCCTCTTGGGATCTTGGGCATGCATGTACGCTCACCCGGCGTGAGTTTTGTTTTTTAAAGAATCATTTAAGGGACCAGCAGTTGGCGTAATGGTTATGTCGCTGGACTCCCATGTAGTCGACTGCGGTTCGAGTCCAGGACCTGGTGGCTTCAACTCACGCCGGGCACGTGTGCGTGCGTGCCCAAGATCCCGAGAGGAGAATGGAGGAGAAGGGATTGCCGTGTGGCCATCCCCCCAGGGGCTGATTTCTTGCTCTCTGTCTCTCTGTCTCTGTCTTTCTAGAGAGCTCACGTGCCCTATAGCAAAAACTTCTCCATAAAGAGGAAAAAAAAAGAATTATTTTATTAATTTATTTGTTCATTTATTTTTTAAAAAATTATTATTTTACTTAACTTTATTTATTATTATATTATTCATTTCCACTTTGATCAGAGAGAGAGCGAGAAGGAGGGAAAGTGAGAAAGGAAGCCACCAGACCCAGGACTCCAACCGCAGTGGGAGTCCAGTGTCTTTAACCACTATGCCACCTGCCAGCCCTCATTAATTTATTTTTTAATTCTACCAAAGAGAAAGAGATAGAGAGAGAGAGAGAGAGGGAGAGTGAAAAAGCTAGCCACCAGGTCCGGGACTTGAACCACCGTCAGCCATGGGGGAGTCCAGCGTCTTAACCACCACACCACCTGCTGTCCCCCACCCCAGTGTGAATTTTAAACCGCCATGTCTGGAACTAGAATCATGGTCAGCCATGTATGTGGGAGTCCAGCGACATGAAAATGATGCCATCTGCTGCTCCCAGTGAAAGAATTTAGACAGAGAGCAGGGAGGGCATGGGGAATGGGGCACTGAAGGATGCATAGGAGTTCAAAACAGAGACCGCGTAGAAACAGTGCGTGCTGCACGCGCTGACCAAGACGGACTTGTAATGCACCAGGAACGGGACCTGCTCAAGACATTCCAGATCCCGGCGGACACACTGGTCACTTACCTTCTGATGCTGGAGGGTCACTACCACGCCGACGTGGCCTATCACAACAGCCTCCACGCTGCCGACGTCGCCCAGTCCACGCACGTACTGCTGGCCACGCCCGCCCTGGAGGTACCGGGCTTCCGGTGCAGGCAGCTGGGAGGGTGCAGGGCTCCGAGTGCCCAGCCCTCAGCTCTCACGCCCTGTGCCCGCTCAGGCTGTGTTCACCGACCTGGAAGTGCTGGCTGCCATCTTTGCTAGTGCCATCCACGACGTGGACCATCCTGGGGTCTCCAACCAGTTCCTCATTAACACCAGTGAGTCGGGCGGCGCGGGGGCTGGGGTCCCAGACTGGTCCGTGGGTGCTCGGGGCCGATGCTCGGGTGCTCAGAGTCGGTTAAGGTACTCGGTAAATTACAGTGGGGGGCAGTGATCTGAGGTCACCGAGAGCTTTGATTTTTTTTTTGGAGAGAGATTTGGCTATAGGGAGCATGCGCTCACTAGAGAGAGACAGAGACAGAGAGACAGAAAGTGAAAAAATGGCCCCCCGGGGAGGGGGGATGGCCATGCTACAATCCCTTCTCCTCCATTTTTCTCTGTACATGTGCCCAGTATAATTTTTTTACCTTTTTTTTTTTTTTAAGAATTATCTATTTTATTTTATTTATTCATTCATTTTATTTTAATTTGACCAGAGAGAGACACACACAGGGAGAGAGAGAAAGTGAGAAAACAAGCCACCAGGTCCGGGACTCGAACTGTCATTGGCCATGTGGGAGTGTCCAGTGACTTCACGACCACGCCACCTGCTGGTCCCAGCCACGTTAACTTCTGAGCTACCAACTGGTTTGTTATTCAAGAATTATTTTATTTATTTAAAAATAATTATTTAATTTGATTAATTGATTGAATAACTAATTAATTATGACCAGAGTGAGAAAGAGAGAAGGAAAGTAAGAAAGCAAGCTGACAGGTCCGGGGCTCAAACCACAGTCAGCCATGTGGGAATCCCATGCCCTTAATCACCACGCCACCTGCCAGACCCTAATTTTATTTATTTTTAATTTGACCAGAGAGACAGAGAGACAGAGAGAGAGAGAAAGGGAAAGTGAGAAAGCAAGCCACCAGGTCTGGGACTCAAACCGCAGTTGGCCATGTAGGAGTCCAACACCTTAACCACCACACCACCTACTGGCCCCATTATAATTATTTTTTTTAAAAAAAGAATTATTTATTTGATTTGTGTATTATTATTCTTCAATTTGACCAGAGAGAAGCAGAGAAAGAGAGGGAGGAGAGTCAGAAAGCCAGCTGCCAGGTCCCGGGACTTGAACCATGGTCAGCCATGTGGGAATTCAGCACCTTAACTGTCACGCCACCTGTCAGCCCCTGAGCCCTGCCCCGTTATTATTATTTTTTAATTGCTAGAGTGTACGCTTGCTAGAGAGAGACAGGGGAACAGAGAATGAGAGGGAGAAAGCACCCCCCGTGGGGTGTGGTCACGCCACAATCCCTTCTCTTCCCCTCTCCTTTAATGACTTTCGACACGCACGCCCATGCGCACATACACCTGGTGCGATTTTCAAACTGCTGGGTCCAGGACTTGAACCACAAAGTCAGTCACGTGGGATTCAGCCGCTTACCCTCTGCACCACCTGCTGGCTCACTACTAATATTTTGTAATTGCCAGCCCGGCAGGTGGCATGGTGGTTAAGGGTGCTGGACTCCCACATGGCTGACCACAGTTCAAGTCCCGGACCTGGCAACTTGCTTTCTCATTTTCTTTTTTTTTTTCTCTCTCTCTCTGTGTCTTTCACTGGTCCAATTAAAATAAATAAAGTTCAATAAGATAATTTTAAAGAAAAAACTATGTTTAAAAAAAAAGTTTTACGGACCAGCAGTTAGCACAATGGCTATGTCGCTGGACTCCCATGGAGTCAACCGCGTTTCGAGTCCTGGACCCGGTGGCTTAAACTCACGCTGGGTGCGTGTGCATGCGTGCCCAAGATCCCGAGAGGAGAATGGAGGAGAAGGGATTGCGGCGTGGCCATCCCCCCTAGGGGGTGATTTCTCGCTTTCTGTCTCTCTGTCTCTCTTTGTCTCTCTGGTGGGCACACGCAATCTTATAACAAAAATCTCTTTAAAAAAAAAAAAAGGGAGTCTAGAGACCAAAACTCAATCATCCATTCAACCAGTATTCAGTTAGCACTGTTTCTCACCATACGAGATCCCTAAGAAGCCCCTTGAGACACCCCCTAAACTCTCCAGAGGAGGAAGGGCCAGAATTCTGGAGGGTTTATTGGAAGACAGGGCATTAGCGTTGGGGCTTCAACGCATGCATAGGAGTTCACCAGGATTTTTTTTTTTTCTGCCCTAAGCTGCCTGGGGGTGGAGTGGGTTGGATGCGCAGTTCCTGAGGCTCAGCTTCCCCTGCAGATTCAGAGCTGGCGCTCATGTATAACGACGCTTCTGTGCTGGAGAACCACCACCTGGCCGTGGGCTTTAAACTGCTGCAGGCGGAGAACTGTGACATCTTCCGGAACCTCAGCGCCAAGCAGCGGCTGAGTCTCCGCAGGATGGTGATTGACATGGTGAGACCGCGGTGGTGGGTGGAGCCAGCTCAGCTTCCCCTGCAGATTCAGAGCTGGCGCTCATGTATAACGACGCTTCTGTGCTGGAGAACCACCACCTGGCCGTGGGCTTTAAACTGCTGCAGGCGGAGAACTGTGACATCTTCCGGAACCTCAGCGCCAAGCAGCGGCTGAGTCTCCGCAGGATGGTGATTGACATGGTGAGACCGCGGTGGTGGGTGGAGCCAGAAGGAGGGCGTGGAGGTGGGCGTGGCCGGCAGGA